AATTAATGGTATATTTTCAAATGCGATTTTTGGGCTTGGGAGTGGGTTTTACCCCCCCAAATGGGGGGGGGGGGTATTGTCAGAGTATTTTGACGAGATCTATCGATTGGACCCACCCATATTGCCCCCTGACCCACCCCAGACCATTTTTTGGAGTAATGTATATGTAAGGGAAGCATCATCGATAATAGCCCTGTGGGGAGTCAGGAAATGGGTCAGTCGACATCGGGGGAAGCTCCAATCGATAGATCTCGTCAAAATACATTGAGATACAAACTGGTCCGGGAGGGTTTAGCCACTCCCTAGCCCGCGAATCGGGTTTATATTTTTCCCCGGGGGAAATTTGTTTTGAATAGCATTCAGACTCAAAAGTGAGCTATAGAATAAAGTTGTAGACAACACAAATACGGCCGTAAGTAGAAGACTGTAATAATTTGAAAATCGTCCAGGAAATCTAAAAAATATATGTTTGAAATTAGCCGAGTTTTGGAATAATTTGGACAGCAAATCATAGTAACAAAATATGAATCGAGACTCAACTCTTTCGCAGCGGAATGGAATCTTATTATTTCGCACAATTTCTTCTTGTATTCAATACTGTTTGGATTGGTACTGTTCTTTCCGGCGCTTACGATGGACTCGTTTAAATGAATCAAACTCATTTTGATATCTTGGACGAGTGCTACGAAAAATGTACAATGGCTTATGTAAAACAGTAAAGAAGATACAGTCAACCACCCAGTCAAGTTGAGCCAGAAACATTGTACGCAGACAAGCAACAAATAACCACTCGGACGCTTCCAATTCCACGGAATGCTTAAAGGACACACACAAATTCGAAAATAACATAAAACACTGAATCATCGCAAGTTAAAATCATTCCCAAATTTTAAGCAATTGTTCGAAAATAAAAGAAATTTCTTCGCAAAAATCGTGTTTAGAAATTGAAAGTTAAAGTTGGAAAAGAAACTAACGATGAAATAAGAAAACTTGTTTAAAAAAAATTTCTAAAACGATTGAATTACGTTGCCGAAAAGAGTTGCTGGAATGAATCGGTTGAATAATCCGAAGCGTAGTAAAGGCAGAACGAACCAACGGAACTCGAAACAGTCAATAGGTAGATGCATACTGACACCATCTTCCAAAGTACCTGCGCGAATTTCTGCAACCTTTGATTTACGCGTGAGTAGGCTAGTCGACTTTCATTGTTTTCGCTTCCTAAAAAAATGAAATTAGTGCCTAATGAATGTGTTGAAATTAGAGCGTATCAATTCGAAGAATTTTGTAAGTGATTCTAGCAAAAGTTCAAATTGAATGCGTGTCCAAATATTGAGGCTTGAATTACTTTTTTCAAAGATGTCCAGCAAATCATTCATGATTCCAATGAAATTGCATCTCTTCGCAACGGTGACCTAGTAAAAAATCAATTGCAATACCATAGCAGCCAAAAATAATGCGACCTCTGAATATTCGCCGAATGTTTTTGCTTTGAACAAAACGAAGCAAATGAGTGACGTGGTGTAGAGCAGAAGCGAAACGATCATGAATCCGATATGAAGCACATTTATCAATGATTGGTGTTTTCGCATTGAAATCGGTAGACTTGACTCTGGTACTGGTATGATACCAAACAAAATGAAATACCATCTGAGCGTGGCCAAAATTGACAACTGTTGCGATTTTAGATGAAATTTTTTGAATAACTTCTTTTCAGAATTCGAGAAAAATGTAGAATTTTCAGGCGTCATTTCTAGTTTTTTCTTGCACAATCTGGGATAGCTAAAACTGAAAGATATCAAAGGATAAGCGTGCCTTCACGCGATTGAGTAAGTACTGGAAATCAATTGAAAATGTTGACTTCCTTGAAGGACAAACCATTCAAGAGCTCAATACGTAAACCTAATTGCTTTGTTTTTGAAAAAAACTAACGGATTTTTTTTTCCATTGGAAAGCAATTAAGTTTGATTGACGTCAACGCGTACGTAATTTAAATATTCCTTTTACTCTTAGATATAATCGCTCATACTCAATTCGAATGTCAACTAATATTTTATGCCATGGAAGAATAATTGAAGCTGGAAATTATCTCACCTTTAGCATGATCAGATACGAAACAAAATTGAAATTGGACCAAAGTTGTTCCGTCGAATCAATTAGAATTTTTAAACGAACAACTCTATGCATTATACAAACTTTCCCACACGCGTTGTCAAAATTGCGTGTTTCAACACTCTGTAAACAATCACTCATGTCATTTCTCTCGGAGCTCCGTGAAGAGACATGGTCAAAACAGTTCAAAATTTATGTGTGTGTATGTATTTGTGGATAAAATCAATAGCTTTTCCCAAACAAACTTTGTGCGCAGAGTAATATTATTAATTTCAATTGGGCACAGGTTTTTTTCTGTATATCTTGTTGCGACACAAACGTGTGCTCGGGATTATTGAAACCAGCTGAAAATCCCACAGTGAAAGCTCAATTGCGTTCGTTTTATTTTTATGCTCATGCTCTCACTCCTGCTCAGAGCCTGTTCCAGATAGGGCGCAAGTGGTGCGCTGCAATTTGTATAAATTGGCGGAAAATTAAAACGCTTCAGCGCCGAAGGCGCTCAAGCGCGAAAATTTCCTAAAAATATGAAGAAAAATTGAAACGCGCAAATTTTCCAAAAATACGTAGAAAAAAAGAAGCGCAAAGAGCGCTCAGTATTATAGACAAAATGGAGCGCTTAGAGTCGCAATTTTTTGAAAATATTTATATAAACTAGAGTTGTATGTATAGAAGAGCGCTCGCATAAAAATATACAATTTTCTGCTGACCTACAGCGAATATGTTTGCGAGAAAGTGCTTCGGGACGCATCGGATATTTGTGAGCGCATTGGAATCAAATCGAAATTTGACGACACAAAAAGAACGACCAGAGCAAATATTATTTCTGAAGAAGACTTCCAGACAAAATTATCTTTGCCTATCATTCAAGGTGCAATTCTTTCAATTGATGATAGATTCACAGCGCTTAATACGTACAGTGACCTGTTCTCATTTTCATATGATTACGAGAATTATGAAACGAACAGAAGGAACGGAACTCTATTAAAGGCATGCAAGAAACTTTAGAGCGCTCTCTCACACAACGAAAAATCCAATATCGATGGCGATGATCTTTTTGCTGACTCGCAGTCGTTTCAACGTTAACGAACAAGAAGATTGATCATGCAATAGATATTCCAAACGAAATTCAGAAATAAAATATGGAGTATATGCTTCCAAATGTTGTTATTGCATTCGGAATTATGCTGACGATACCGGTATCAGTGGCGATTGGAAAACGTTCATTTTCAAACCCTAAGAAAAGGGCGCTCTGACAATTTTGCACCAGGGCGCAAAAGGCGCACGCACAGGCTCTGCTCCTGCTCTAAATCTTGAATCCCCAAAACGAGACACAGTGAACTGTGCAGGGCAGAAATGCAGAGGAATAGATAATCTAAAGCTTGCTTTTATTTCGCACATAATGTAATCGCATTAAAAAGTATGGAGTAAATGTGCTGAAAGATGAAAAGGCCACCAATTTCAATGCACATTACTCGAGCATTATTGTGACAGTAGTGTGCAACAACGAGCTTGTGACCTAAGTGCTTTTCGTAGCGTGTGTTTTGCCGAAATGTCAGTAGTGGTAAACCGTAATGCGATAAACGTTTACTCCTCCGAAAACATAGCAAACTAACAAATGTCAAAACAATGCCGTTTTTCTCATTCTCGACACATTGTGTGTGTGTGTGGTGCAAGCCGTTGTTCGGCCAGAAGTTTGCATCGAAAATGGAAAATTTACAGTTGTTTATTTTGGTGGAAGTTTTCAACTCGTGGAATCCGAAAAGCCAATCACTAATTTAAGCTGGATGATGTTGAATAACGTAAATAAAAGGTAATCAAGCAGCTATGGATGTTGGATGAATTTCAATGCGGCATCCTTTCAGTTTGTTTTTTTATTTTTCCATTTCATAATATGGTGACTCGAGCTACAGCCAAAGCATTTTTCATCCAATTTTTTCGTCGTTTTTTCGTCGACATTGACCAACTTGAGTTTTCCACGGTGCAAAAAAAAATCGGATCTATTTTAAGCCATGTGACGTCGTGGTTCGTTGATCCGTTTAAATCAACCTTTACTCCAGCTCAAGCGAAAAAATGTCTGCACATTTTCGGAATACCGCGAACATATGCATTTGTACATATTTTTTTGTGTCACCATGGAAAATTGCGATAGCGTTCTTTTTTCTATGAAAACGAAAACATATCCAGAGAAATGTTACCTGTAGTAAAATTTTCATCATTGTTTCGCTGTAGCTCAGACGAAACAAGCAAAATTCATATGGTTTTGCTGAAGAACATGGAAAAGATTTTTTTTTTTTTACTTTTCATTCAACAGTTTTTTTATTGCGTTTTTATGTCGATGTATTACAATTGGAAAATGTGTTTTTTTTCTTCTGTGCCAAATCTAACTCTCGGTTCGCAATTGATTGACTTTTTCCATAAGATTGGCAATTCTTGTGTCGCACAGTTCGTTGGCCCAATGTCCGTCCCGTTTGAAATATGAACCGATTATGGCAGCATTCGATTTGGGAAAATATTCGTTGATATTTTCGCTGGTGACACCCGATCCAATTATAACGGGCGATTTACATTTGTTATGGATGGCGTGCAAGTCACCCTCGTTAACAGCACAGCCGGTTGTAGTTCCTTGGTGTGAGAAAATGTAAGAGAAAAGAAAACCGAAAATGTGATGAAAAATGTGTTTCTATAAAATAAATGAGTTTTTGGTGGGCGAGGTATACCGGTGAGTATGATTCCATCGGTCAAAAAGAATTCAGCAGCATGAACCGTTTCCAGCAGTGACACATCATTTGTAATCGCATGTGAGCTGTGTTTTTTCTTGAGATCGGTGAAAATAAGAATGTGTTCGGCATCAATTTGCTTTCGATAGCGAAGTAAATGGCCGGCACATGCATTGGTGAAACCTTCATCGGCGACGTGGGCAAATACGAAACCTTCAGCTCGAATAAATTGTAAATTGGCCGCTTTGGCAATGGCCAACGCTTGACAATTTGCACTTGCCAACACTTGAAGGCCACATGGTGTGTTCGGTAACAATTGCTTTATTTCACCGCTGACACGAGTCATAGATGCAATCACTTCCGGTCCAATGTGCTCATTTTGAACGTACGGTATGTCATGCATGTTTTCAACCAAAACTGCATCCTATTTTGATAAACAAGTCCTTTTATTGACCCAATTTGATGTCGGTCTAACTTGTGGTAACGGTACGAGCTAAAATCTCTTACCACATTGTACTTTTTGTAGATGTTTGCTTCATGGCGAGCCTGTTCAACGATTGCATTAAAATTGCCGTCATACTTTGGAGTGCCTGTCGGAACATTTTGAATAAAATTCAACTCATTGTTTCGTTATTTTTTTTTTGTATTAAAAGTTGAAAACGGACCTGGCAGCGCTCGCAGATGTATCATTCCAATGACGGAAAACAATTTCGTCCCGAAAACTTGCTGAAAACGCTGCATTTGCCTGTGAAAATGAAGAATTCAAAAATTACATGTTATTTTTTCGAAATGATTCTTTTTCCATTGCATCGCTTAAATAATGATTTCATCATTTTGAAAAATAAAAATGCATTCATCATTTCATAATAAGAATGAGCATGGAGTTTTGGAAAAAGAAAAGAAATTGGATTTTCATTATATTTATCTGGTTCTTCTCATGATGAAGGCGAAAATTAGTTTAATGTCACGAGAAAAGGAAAATTGAGAAAAAGAAGAAAAAAATTATCTCAAAGAGAAAAATATTGCATCAAGTTTGATGCATCATTAAAAATTCCTACGAATTTTCTTCGTAGAAACACATTTAATTATAAAGTTATACGCATTGCCATATCTATTTCACCGCATATTTAGGAATATAATGCGTTTTCAACTGCGACTCGTGCATACTAGCAAACTTGCGACAACACAATATGATGCGTAATAGTCTAAAGATTTGTTCAGTGGGTTACGACAACAAAAACGCTATTTTTAGCAACAAAAGCACTTTGAATCTAAATTGAATATATTTTCTCCCTCACTCACATACACACACATATTATGAGAGCATTGGTATCTCCATACAAAATCATACACACGTCACACGCGAACCAGCTGCAAATGAAATAATTTCCAAATTTATGGAAATGTCTTTCTTCCACTGCGGAAAGTGAAGAGCTTAACGTATTTATCAATTTCAATTATCATTTAAAGTTTTTGTCACTAATTTTCACTTGACATTCTCTCTTTCTCTTTATGTGTGTGTGTGTGTCTCGTTCTCTGTGTTTCTCGGAATGGTAACGGTTTGTCGTGTTTGTATCTAAGCATACCAAAATAACTAAACATTATCATAAATTAAATTCCCGTTCGCTGTTTCCAGTTATTCCTGTGTATTCTCGGTCTTTGTTTGTATGTGAGTGTATTTGCAAGGGATGTTGCGACACACTGATATGTGTTTATATACCGATTTTCAAGCGAATGACGAAGTTCACTTTCAGACTTTGTGCACACAGTTGATTGTCATTGCTTTTGCCAGCCAGCCAACTGCATACAATGTTGTTGTTGCTGTTGCCACTGAACCTCAATTCATTTAATTCGAAGGAATGAGCACGATTTTGAGCGAAAATCTTCAATCGTTTTCGTTTTCGAGACGTTGCCTTTTTACGCAGATAACACGCGACATGAACGGAATTTATTGGAATTTCGTAATGTGCAGCTTACATTTTTTGTGTTGGAACACATCATTTTCCAAGAAAAAACAATAAATACAACAAACAACTATTAGCGATACGCTGAAAAGTAATCGCATTCTCGCGAAAATCCACTACATTCAACATTTTTTTATGGGATTTTCATTGCAAAACATTGTGCCACTTCGGGTGCATGAAGCTGTGATAGTTTTTTGCTCATTCCGAACCAGTGATTTGATGAGCATTTTCAGTTAATTGAAGAGCTATTGCCGCGACATTTTATTAAGTTTCAGCAAATTCAACCAGAGAGAGAGATGATACTATGAAATTTTATTCAAAGAAATTATTGGCGACTTGGAAAATTTTTCGGTTGAAAAACAATTTAAAACTTAAACGTTTGGACAAGGCGGACAAATAAATTATTAATTTAAAGTTTTTTGACGTTTATCTTTCGGGTATTATCAGTAGCCCATCATTTTCATAGGATTCGATGATTTTCTACTCGCTCTACTCAAGTCCATCTTAAAATATCGATGCAAACGTAAGCGCTATGCAAACTGTGTAGCAGGGAAAGTACATATAGAAGAAACACCGTATGAATTGGATCATTTTTGCAACATGAAGTTAGGTTTTGTCATTAAAACCCTTCTACAGCATATCATTATTATAATTAAATTGTATATCAGTCCAATAAAGAGAACACTTTCAAAAAATATGAAAAAAAAATTAACAATGATTTTCTTTTTCACACCACAATGTAGCACGTGTGAACTTTTCTTCGTTCGTTGGCTCGAGTTATTATCAGTATTGCCATACAAGTTCCAGATTTAATAAACCATAAAAGAAAATCATCCAAACAACGTAACCAAGCGACTTCAACATGGATGTGTGTTGCTCGCTAAAAATATCCAGTTGAAAGTTTTGTTGTGTTTATAAACATCGGCAAAAGTGCAGAACGAGCGAGAAAGACAATAAGAGTGGAATAGAAAAGGAGGGAGAGAGAGCCAGAAAGAATGAACGTATTCAACGTAACATCAAGTAGATGATGCGTAAAGCATCGTATCGTGCATGGTCTGATACGTGAAGGTATAGAGCGTTTAAGCCTCGTGGCTGTGCCAACGTCAGCAACGCCAATATCTCGGCATCAATACACATATTCAACACAACCGATTTGGGCCCGTTGGCACAGGGCAGACTATCCCCTTCTGGTTATATGATTACCACAAACATACACATTCAACCTTTATCGTTGCTGAATCTGCTCGAAAAACGGAGAGTGGGAGAGAGAAAAAAAAATTGGAACAAAATCTTGGCTAATTTATAGATTGCTTCGCCTTCACTTTTATGGGAATCATTCAATTTTACGTTCATAGGCAACTCTTCGTCATATCAATTTCATGCAAGCAACGAAAGCTATTCATATAGTGTAGCGACGATAAAAGTGGCTTCTTCTACTACGACTACTTTGAATACACTGTATCTCTTTTCTAATTTTATGTGCGCACGCGACTCATTTTTGAGCCATCAACTTTTCAAATTTATTTTATGAGTCTGATTAATAAATGATATGTCGTACATTTTCGCCCATAAATGGAACAATAACAACACTACATGAAAATATGGATTTTATTACAAGCAAAAGAAGATACTTGTGTAAGGAGCTCAATTGGTGAATTGTGCACCCGAATTGACTTGTTTTTATTTTGGTTGAAAGTAGATAAAGACATGGCTGCAAGCATGTAATTCGAAGTGCAATTGAATTGAGTGCTTGATTGAGTTCGCCAGGCTTGAAATTCGAATAAAAAACGAGAATATGTAATAAAACGGGCCAACAGATGACTTTTAACTGACTCAAACCAAAATTAAATTGGCCCATGCAATAAAACGAAAAAAAAAATTCTGAGACCTTGGACCATTCCTCCCAAATCCAAATGTGTTCCTATAAATAGAATGATTTTCAACCCGCGGCATATCACCCGCGGAAATGTCTTCAGACTGGATATTTTACTACAGTCTTATGACAATGTGTCTATTTTATCAAGCGCCTAATTCGTTTTTCATCGATTTTTATGTGCTCCCAATTCGCGACAAGCGCCTGTGTTCAATGTGTACATCAATTTTACTTTTCAACTTGCGACATTTTGAAAGCAATGCATTCACAGCGCCAACCATTTTCCACTTTTCCACTTTAACGTTTCTATTTCAATTTTATTAGTATCGCATATATTCAAATTCATATATATGGATTGATTGCATCACATCGCCTCCGTATTCATTCGACGAATACGCGAGAGAATTTCCTCTTTCCGCCAATAAAAAAAAGTAAAGTGACACACGAAGACACATATAGCACCAGAAATTATTTTGTCAAGACATCGTCTAATCAATGAGAACGC